CACCCTTATCTTCCCAAAATAACAACTCACACAACACAACAATTTACATAGAAAATTATCACAACAACATAACAAAAAATTAATTCATATCACAATTTTCCCAATGGCCACAACCAAATTTCAAAGCTACAACCAAGTCAATTAATTTCACAGCAAATAACCAAATACTCCACACAATGTGTACAACACCCAAAAATAATCAATAGAGATAGAAATTACTCAACATAAAGCAAAGTATTCATAAAAGATCAAATTTTAAATAATTATATAAACACCTCTTCTTAAGCTCATTTAATTAATTATTTGTAGAGGGAAAAATTCAAAATAAAATTAAATTCCAATAATTATCAAGCCAGCAAATTCACGAAATTTCATAAATAATCAAATAACAATCACATCACATTGTCATATAACAACAGAGTCAACAACAAGGGTTTAGGCACGACAAGTAGATGATCAAATATATGCCAACAATTATCCAATTTACTATACAATATGCTCAGGACTTTAACTCAATAAAATTTGCACATATAAACCAAGTAAGTACTCGTCACCTCGCGTACTTGGTTTTCAATTACCCAAGTTGCATATAAGACTCAATGCCTAAGGGAAATTTCCCCCACTCGAGGTTAAGCAAGACACTTACCTCTTTGAAGTTATGTCGATATTCAAAAATTGCCTCCTTTCTTGAATTGACCTCCGGGTCGTTCAAATCTATCCAAATTAATTATATAACTTTATTAAAATTCATCGAAAATAATTCCGGATAATAATACGTCGACATAAAAATTTAATCCAAAAAGTCAACTTTGTCAACGCGGGATCCGCCTCTCGGAACCCGACATAATTTCATGAAATCCGAACACCCATTCCGATACGAGTTCAACCACCCATTGCGAGACCTCCTTCGCGTTCGCGAAGGCTAAATTTCAGCAGCCTCAAAACTCTTCTTCGCGTTCACGTGACTCTCTTCGCGTTCGCGAAGAAGGAAGTCAGATACCAGATACAGCAGTTCCGAAACAGCCCGAAATGATCCAAAACTATCCCGAAACATACCCGAGGCCCCCGGGACCTCAACCAAATACACCAACAAGTCCTAAAATATTATACGAACTTAGTCGAATTCTCAAATCACCTCAAATAACATCAAAACGACGAATCACACCCCAAATCAAAATCTTTGAACTTTAAACTTTTAAATTCTATAACTTATGTCGAAACACATCAAAATCAATCCAGAATGACTTCAAATTTTGCAGGAAAGTCCCAAATAACATAACGGAGCTGTTCCAACTCTCGGAATCACATTCTGACTCTGATATCAAAAAGTCAACCATCCAGTCAAACTTCCTAAAAATTCGACTTTCGCCATTTCAAGCCTAAATTGGCTACAGACCTCAGATTCACGGTCCGGACATGATCCTAAGTCCAAAATAACCCAACTGAGCTAACGGTACCGACATAACTCTATTTTGGAGTCGTCTTCACACAGTTCCGACTACGATAAAAATCTTAAGTTTTAAGCTTCCATCTTAGGGACTAAGTGTCCTAAATTTCTCCGAATCATCCGTAAATCAAACTCGACCACACACGCGGGTCATAATACATATTGCGAGGCTGCTAGAGACATTAAGTCATTGAACTGGGCGTAAATTCTTAAAACGACAAGTCGGATCGTTACAATATACAGGGAGATGAAACTTTTAAGATATTATTTTATAGCAAATTATGTAGACCGTTGGCTCCATTTTTGACTTAATTCCGTAATTTTTTCCATAATGATTGGTCAATGGAGAGAATCACAGATACTTGTCGTGTGAGTTGGCAAAACTTTTCTTTGAGGTCGTTAGAAGCGCGGTCAGTCGTGCCCCCGTTAAACTCGAGGGCAAATCTGATGGTCTTGTTCGAATTTCGATCCTTGATATCGAGCCCAATTACATTTGTAACTTCGATCTCTTACGTAGGTACTGAGCCTTGAACTATTGTTCCAGATGCCTCAATCAAGTATAGAACTCAGTTCTACCCGTTTACACTTCCTAAAGAAAAAAATTAAAGAAGTATAAGAAGAAATTTAAAGGTTTGACTCCCAATCCAACATTCAGTAGGAAGTCATTGGGACTTTTCGCACAAAAAAGTCATCTTCAAAAAATATCTTTTCAAAATGAATTTGAAGTTATATATAGTAACAGTGTAAAGATTAACAGTGTTTTTCTTATACTAGTAATATATTTGACATACTATAAACTATTGCTTTCTTTTTTAATACTCTTTCTATTTCTATTTGTTTGAATCTTTTTGGAGTACGATGGTCAACTTATTTAATTTTTTGTGTAAATTCGAACATATATTTTTTAATTTTTTTGAAATAAAATTTACATACTTAAAAACCACATAAAATGTATTATAAGTCACAATAATTAATAATTTAAAATATTTTAACAATATTTACAAAAGATATGTAGTTAAAGATTTTTGACTCCCTAATTAGTAATTGATTTATTCTTTTTTAAAGAGAGGAAATATATATTAACACTATAAGAGTCTTTTAATAAACAATTCTTTATATATATATATATATAGTAGTATATATTATATTGAAGGGAGGAAGAAATGATTGTAAACAACGTAAGTCCTTTGGTTTTCTTAAAACTTTGCGCCTTTTTTCTTTTGGCTAAAACTTTGAGCCTTACACCAATATATGTCGGAGCCACCTAGTAGAAATTTTGAGTCAATCGTACGACGTCCCTGGCTGCTATGTTTTAGGCAATATCGTTGACAGTGGCCCACCATTGACTGTGTCGTAATAACGACGTCATGCAATTTATTTTGTAAAAGAAAAGGGTTAACATAACCAAAATGGCTCAATTATGCCTTTTCGACTAACATACTCATTTCTCAGAGTTTGTAAATTCTTATCCTTTTTTTAATCCTATTTAAAATCAATACTCCCTAAATTTTTAGTTTAAACATTTTCATTTTACCTTTCCCCCTGTATAATGTAACATGACATATTAAAAGATTTAAGGGGTATTTTTTATATGATAAATATAATATAACACTACATAATTCAAAAGCTTCTTTATATTCTTAAACTTCATACCACATCAAAGTACTAACACGCAAAATGAAATGGAAAGAGTAATTTTATTACTCCCCGTTTCAATTTAGATGAGCTAGTTTGATTCGGTATGGAGTTTAAGAAAAAAAGAAGACTTTTGAAACTTGCGGTCTTAAAAGCTTAAGGGGTAAAAGTTTTGTGGGGTCATGACATTTGTGTGGTTATAATAGGTTCTTGTTAAAAGTAAAATAAGTAAAATGAAGAGTTTAAAGTTGAATCATTTCCAAATTTAAAAATATGTCATTTATTTTGGATCAGACTAAAAAATAAAGTATCTCATCTAATTTGAAACGGACGGAGTAAAACCTTAAAAGGTTCAAGTACAATGTGTGCTAATTGCTCTAAAGCATCGACGGATTTAGATGTGTAATACAGAATACTTTTAGAGAGTATTTATGAAATTAAAGTTAATTTAATAAATATACAACAACAACAATAACAAACTCAATATAATCTCACAAGTAGGATCTGGAGAGAATAAAATATACTCGAACCTTACCTCTACCTTGAAGTTAAAGACGCTATTTCCGATAAATAAATACACAATACCATCTAAAGTAATTTGGCCTTGTATCTTTTAAGTGGCGCGGCATAGTTTTACGTACATGTTTTATTTATACAAAGGGAATGATATTAGTAAAGTGAGTAAAAACTGTAATTGACCCGGAACAAAGTAAAGAAGGAAGACTCCTGACAGTATCAAATGTACTCCTGAAAATTGTGATTTTTATATGGTTTTGAAATTTTAATAATTAATATTTATAAAGTATCTCATTATTGATATAATAAAAAATAATATCACTTTTTAAAATAAATTAAGAAAAAGACCATTATGTAAAATGAAACAACAATATTTCATACGGTTTTTATACGGCTAAGTTTACATATATGTGTACCGCACGTGTATCAAACCTTATTTTTCTCAAACGAAAAAAAAGGTCTCTGTCACCATCGACCAAATTAAAAAGCAAGATGAAAGACTCATTCTCATCTTTACCGCGTGCTAGAACCCCCAGAAGTATTTCTTAATCAGGAAGATTTATTTATTGACACAGTCAATCCGGCCCCACTCTTTTTGTAAGCTACTTCCGCCGTTCCGCGTGCCCGTTCATATCGTATCCTCCTCCTCCTCCTCTTCTCTTCATAATTCAAATTTATAAGAACACTTAACAGATTCCACGTACAACCTAAAGGCTCAGCAGAAAACAAGTAAATCGCAACTTTAGCCACAACACTCCGCACATATTACACACTACATAAAACTCAGAAATTTGCACTTTCTTCAAATGATGAATAATTACTCAAGTTCATCATGCTCTTCAGTTATTAGGGCTGAAACTTCTGATGAAGAAGTTATCTTATTAGCGTCAAGCAAACCTAAGAAGCGAGCGGGGAGAAAGAAGTTCAAGGAAACTCGCCACCCGGTATACAGGGGAGTGAGAAAGAGGAACAACGACAAGTGGGTTTGCGAACTGCGTGAGCCCAGCACACAGAAGCGAATATGGTTGGGAAGTTACCCAACTGTAGAAATGGCTGCACGAGCTCATGACGTAGTTGCATTGGCACTTAAAGGACATCTAGCCACTTTAAACTTCGCAGACTCCGCTTGGCGATTGCAAGTGCCGGTATCGAAGGATCCCAAGGACTTGCGCCAAGCGGCTGCGAAAGCAGCAGAGGCGTTCCGGCCAGGAGAGGAAACTGATGTTAATTCTAGAGGGGAATCTAATACTGGCAATGGTGATGAGGAAATGAAGGCAGTAACAGAAGAGAACGCGGCAAATAATAGCATGCAGAATGTGGTGACTGCAGAAAATGTTATGTATAGCAATTCATGTGGAGAAGTGGGAATGTTTGGGACGCAAGAATGGCAGACAAATATGGAAGAAGGGAGTTTGTTTTCACCAAATCCTTGTTTATTAGGGGGTTGTTTCAGCTGGGATGATGATGTGGAGAGTGATGTTGAGGTGTCATTGTGGAGTTATTCTGTTTGATAGCTCATATATAGTTGGAGTATATCCATTTTGTAATAAGCACGTAGATTATATTCTTTTTTAATCCACGTGGATTATTTTCTCCACATGGCATTTGTTTAAATCTAAAATATGCAGTTTTTATATTTTTACTTCATTAATCGTTTAGTTTATTTTTTCCGGAACAAATTTATAATTAAAAAATTAGCTGGACTTCAACTATTTAGGATAAATTTTTCAATTGGCTAAATATAATAGAATGTGAGCCAAACGTTTTTACAAATTAGGCGCAAAAGAGAAGAAATATACAGTTAAAACAAACAATCATTGCATTTTAAAAAAAAATATACAATTTAAACTCCATTATTCTGTTAAGGTTTTTATTTGCAAAAAATAATTGAGCTTTCACAAAGTTTCTTTACAGATTTGACCCAAAAATAGAACACACTGTTAGCATAAATAGACAGTATATTGCATCTACAGAAGAAATAAAAAAGTTCATAGTTGAAACTTTATTAGTTTTGTTAAACCTTTTTTATTTGGCAAAAACACTAATGGAGCTCTAGCGAAGTTCTTCTTCTTTTATTAAGTTGGCCCAAAAAAATATATAGTTAAAATAAATAGCCTTTGTATTTTTAAAAAAATTAAAAAGGAATTGATATTCAACTATTTTGGCTCAAAAAAAAAATATATACAGTTGAAACAAATAGCAATTGTCATTACCCAAAAAACAAAAAGAAGAATTCAAAAAAGGACATTTTACCTCCTATAGCAAAGGTATACACCCTATTTATTATAAATTAAAATTATTTTAAAATATTATTTTCTATAGCTACCTTTTTTATTTTGTAGCAAAATAAATATTTATGGTATATTCTACCATTGAGGCATGAAATAAGGCATGAAATACGCTATTTATATTTTTTCTCTCTCTTAGACAGTTGGACATATCTATTTTAAAGTGATTGTCGTTACTGTATTCATGAATACATGGCGCTGTATCCATGAATACATGGCGCAAATACATGTGAATACATGCGCGTACAACTGGACTGCCCTGATTTTAGGTATTTTTTTTACTGTTGTATTCATGAATACATGGCGCTGTATCCATGAATACATGGCGCAAATACATGTGAATACATGCGCGTACAACTGGACTGCCCTGATTTTAGGTATTTTTTTTACTGTTGTATTCATGAATACAACAATGCGAATATATGTGAATACATATGCGTACAACTGGACTACCTTAATTTTAGGCGCTTTTTACTACTGTATTCATGATGTATTCATGAATACAACAACACGAATACATGTGAATACATGCACGTATAACTGGACTACCCTGATTTTAGGCACTTTTTGTTATTGTATTCATGAATACATGGCGCGAATACTTGTGATTACATGCACGTACAACTGGATTGTTAGTCAATATGTATTACTGTAATAAATAACGAAACAATAAACTTTCTAAAACAGGAAAAATAGAAATAGAAAGTTAGCAACAACAGAATATCGAAATAATTTTGGAAAAAATAAATTCGGAATAAATCGAGCCCACTGAATGCACAGTGTATTCTTAAGAAAATTATTCTCTTCAAGTACCCGAGGTGTTGGAATATTATCCTCCCAGGATAGAACGATTTAACTCACTGGAGTGTTGGTACCAAAAACACCGGTAAAATAGCGAACCACTCGAATGTTGTAAAACACACTAGAAATTTCGTGCAGAAGAAGAAGAAGAAGATCAGAAAATTTTGTAAGGAAAGATTCTCGGATTCAAAGCATATTGATAGACTTTTTTGGCATTGTTTCTGAAAAGATTTACAACCTTTTAGAAACAGCCATAACTGTTGGAAAAGGTGGGAATATTTCTGTTTGTAATATTGCGGGAAAACAAAAAATGAATTTAAAATAATTCGGAAAAGAAAACAGCCAGGGCCGGGTCGCATCGCGGGTCCTAGGTTATTTCGGGTTGAATTTTTTTCGTTAATTAATTAAATTAATTTAATTAAATAATTGATTTTTTTTGTCCAAAATGATTAATCAATCAATCGATCTTTGACCAAATCCAAATCCGAAGCCGAGCGAGCGACGACAACGGTGCGAGACATACTTTCTTTCCAATCCATTTAACACCAAGAGAAGTGCTTTATCAAAATAAACGCATTCACTTTTCTTTCCACCACCAATGAGGGACACTTTGCTCTTTTCAAAGCAAAATGGAGCTCACTTTCCCTCCACTTTCTTTCCTCCATTTCTCATTGACCAATCTTTAATCCCAACATGGACTGCCTTGATTTTAGGCAGTTTTTACTGCTGTATTCATGAATACAACATCGCGAATACATGTGCGTACAACTGAACTGCCTGATTTTATGCGCTTTTTGCTGTTGTATTCATGAATACATGGCGCGAATACATGTAAATACATGCACGTACAGCTGGACTGCCCTGATTTTTAGTACATTACTGTAACAATTGAGTAGTAGATATAGAAAGTAATTATGTATATAGTAGCTATAGGAAGTTAATAGCCACTAAACAATAGTGGTTTCTGAAAATTCCTCTTCAAATAAATGCAAAGTTGCGGAAAATATGTATTGTATATTATGAAGAAACAAGAGGAAACACATGATCGAAACAAATAAATTATATTCCCTCCATTTTAATTTGTTTAACTCTTTTCGGAGTACGAAAGTTAAATTGACTAATTATCGATCGATGTGAAGTCAGACATAGATTCTTTAAATTTTTTAAAATAAAATTTACATATTTAAAATTACTAAAAAGTACTATAAGTCATAATAGTTTAACAATTCAAATATTTAAAAACTATTTTCCAAAACATGGTAAAAAAATTTGTTTGACTCCCCAAATGATAAAATATTTATTCTTTTTTGAACAAATGGAATAGTATGTTATTATATGACAATTAACGATTGAAAAATATCCTACATAAAAATTTATAGTTTTTTTTTTATTATCATTCCCACGCACCTAAAAGAAAATTTATTCACGCTAGTCCTTTGGCCCCCGTATAAAGAAATGCTATCTAATAACCAAGTGTTAGGAAGGAGTGTGCATAGAATAAACAATGTCTAAATTATTGGACAATTAGGTATTCCGCCTATTCTTTTCCTTTTGTTTAATTCTTTTGCTCCTTCTAGGTTTGTAGAGAAAAGAAAGAGAAAAATACGTTTTATATGGATTTTGCCGCTATTAACAGGCATTATGTAGTTTAAGGGAAAGAAGCTGGCTTCGTATGAAGCATATATCCTCTTGTGAAACAAGGTTGCTGATATTGCTAATCGATGGCAGGCGGGGCGGTGTTCAATTTATGGAAATAATCGTTCTTCTTTTTACATAGCTGAATTATCTGTCGTGAAATAATTTCCTTTTGTTATTGGCACATCCCATGTTTTATTTCTCGCACATTTTTTCGATCATTTGCATTCGTCTTTGTTATACCGTGATTGAATTATGTGTAAGGAGTCATAATGGATAATTTAAAATCCCAAGGGTGACAGTCCATAAGGGATTAAGAACGGAGCATAGACCCCTTACCTACTTAAATCCTTAACTTGCATATTTGCAAAGGGAAAAGTGTGGATCACCTAATATATGTGGTCCAGAAGTATGTCTACGTTGGATTCCTTCTTATACTTTAATTTGGATCAAGTCTTTACGGAGTTGTATGTGTTATCTAGTCTACCTTTTATTTGAAAGTAGAGGCATGCGATTTTATTACATGTACAACTTAATTACTTAGGAACAAATAAACTCATTTTACATGGAATTTTGGTTCTTAAAAGATGTTAAAACTAAAAAAGGCAACCTCTACTGTACCGGAAAAAAAAACTACAATTACAATGAGAGGGATATAGTACCAACCTCTGCAGTGATGGGTATAATAATAATTCTAGTCCTAGGTAGTAATGTGATAACTGATAACTACTAAAATGTGTGGTATAGACTTACCAAAAGTTGTCTTAGCTATTGGTTAGCCCCTATTCCCTAGTAGTTTCTAGTTTTAGGAGTCCGAACCAAAGTGTGGTTCGTTTGGACAGAACCATAATATATAGAAAAAAAAATTTGGCACCATAATATGTGTAGTGCGGTTATTCATCACGCTATACCTTAACGGCATATTTGTCCGTTAAGATATAGCTTGTTCAATAACCGCGCTATACATAAAAGTTGGGCCCACCAATATTTCTTGTATAGAATTAACTGACATACCAATAATTCATAAGGTATAGCGTGGTCAATAACCGCGCTATATATAAAAGTTGGGCCCACCAATAATTTTTCTGAACTTAACTGACACACCAATAATTAATAGGGGTATAGCGCACATATTTAAGGTGCTATACATCAAATAATTGTACACCCAGACTGATTTTTTCTTCTTTAAAGAGTTTCAGAAGTTTGTAAAAATCCATTCAGGATCCTTCAAGTCTTCCGAAATATTTGTTCGTTAAGTTATTTTGCATTTTGTCATAATGTCTGAAGAGTGAAGAATTATGATTTCATTATATTGGAGGGGTGGAGGGAGGGTGAGGTTGTGGTGGAGAATAACTCAGTACGCTGTAGTTGTTCTCCACAGTGTCATGTTAAGTTGCCACTTACAATAGAGTACGATACATTGGTATCGTTGTTATTATTGGTGGGCATATTTCGGTCCGAACCGAAAAAATCGTCCGAACCGAAAATATTTTTATTTCGGTTATTCGGTTTTTTCGGTCGGTTTCGGTTTAAAATTTTAAAATTTTAGTTTTTTGGTTCGGTTTTCGGTTATTAATTTATTTGGTTCGGTTAACCGAAAAACCGAATTATTAGCAAACCAACAAATTTTCGGTTGGTTTCAGTCTAATTTACCAAAATTTTGAAACAAAACAAACAAATTCGTCAATCCAATTATTATATAGAGAGAGCCCAATATGATAACATTCAAACCGAAAACCGAACCGAAATAAACCGAACCGAAATTAGAAAATCGAACTGAACCGAACTTATTTCAGTTCGGTTTTGGTTACTACTTTTACAAAATCGAAAACTAAATAACCGAACCGAATTTCTTAAAACTGAACCGACTGAATGCCCACCCCTAGTTGTTATGTAAA